GAAGCCTGGGGGGGATGCGAAAGGAAAGAGGGGAAAGGTGGAGAAACAGGGGAGAGGGAAAATCCCAGGTAGTAGCCCCAGGATTTTTGTGTGCGGGGTGCCATAACAAAGTGTCTTCCTTTCACTCACAACGAGTCCAAGGATCCCGGCTTTCTCTACTTCTGCGTGAAAATGATGGACAACACAGAGAAGCTGTGCGGGTGGAGCTGTGGTTGTGGGTGTGTGCCCCAAGGGGCAGCGCCGCTTCGTGGAATCATTTTCTAATTTGTAACTAATTCCCGGAGCCTCCTTCGATGTAATTTTCTCCATAAATTATGAATTTATTTTCCCCACTTATTTTATTTTTATTTTCTCTTTTTTCTGCTTCTGGAATTGGGAGAGTAATTAGCATAACTTTACGGCGGAGGAATCGAACTGGGAATTCTCTCTCTCTCTGGCGTGTCTTTGGTGACCTATCAAAAGCCTATCAGCCGTACATTTCATTTACATAATTCTATAAAAAACCCATTAGAGAATCCCAAAAATATCCACAGAAAGAACCAACCGAACGGCAGGCAATAAAATGACTAATTAACTTTAAGCGGCTTTTGGCCCCAGAGAGCTCTACCACTTTTGTTGCTTCTTTTGTTAATGATTACACCTGCTGCTCGCTGCCGCTGCTGCTGCTGTTCGATGCCATAGACTGCATATATCTCGTATAATATACAGTATGGTATGCCTTTAAGTCGTCTCGTATGTAGATACGCATCGTAAATATCAAATTTTTCGAAGGCATTGATGGCGCAGGGGTTTCATAATCGCTCAAAACAAAAAAACCTGTCTGTCTGTCGTCTTCTCAACCAAAACAAAAAGTTTGGCAAGAAATGAAGGTTGTTTTTGGGGCTAAAGAAGCTCTGTAATACACTAACAAGTGGAAAGAGAACGATGGATAGATTATAGAAAATATTCTTCGGACTCTGAGAAAAGATGGATTTCAAATGGAGGAATCAAAAGATATTTATATGAAAAATAGTAAAAACAAAAAATACCAGAAAAATACAACATAATTCAATAACAAATACTTTAAGTAATACTAGAAAATATTATGAAAATACGAGAAAATACTATGATATATACTAGAAAATAATATCAAAAAATTCTTTAAAAAACTCGGTATAAAATACTAGGGAACTAAATAAACAACCTACCAAAAATACAAGAAAACTCTAAATAAAATACTAGAAAGTAGTGTAAAGAAATAGTAGTGTAAGAAATACTATACAAAATACCAGAACATAGGTTATCGAAATACTAGAAAAACTGAAATACATTTTCTTAAATATATCTACATTGAAATGAGCGCTTCCCTTAGTGGAATATAAGCTTTGGGGACCACAATTCATTAAACCCAATAAAACCATAGCATTAGGCAAATAAAATTCCAAATAAAAAACACTTACCCCTTCCATTTCCCCCTCTGTGTCACCCTTGATCGTAAAATGATGGTACCCTCTCTTTTAGTATATTTTTGATATAATATCTCTCTTTCAAATGTTGCCACTTCTCATGCATTTTTATTCCGTCTTTCATGTGTAAGATGAAACGTCATAAAAAAGACAAAACAAAAATCCAAAATACAAAGAAAAAAACCAAAAAAAAAGAAGAAATATACATAATAATAATGCTGAGTGAGGCAATGCCATATGTGTGTTGTGACGGCTCGCAGACACATTGCTGGTGATGGCTTTTGATGGAGGGAATACCGAATACCAGAAAATATACTCAAAACATAAGAAACAACAAATTATAAACACGGGCTATTAGAAGATGAGTTGTGGGAGGAGGAGGAGGATTCACTCACTCACTCATTCTGATATCTATAGAAAGATGATGATCGATGGATTAATCGCTGGATGGAGTTTTCGAGGAGCATACTTAAGAAACCTTTTGGTTGCCACATTTTTAGTGGTTTGAGTGGGAAAATGTTGGAAATTATGAGGGCCCATGATGTCGAATTTAAAGCGAATTAGCTTTAAGCTGTGGGAAAAAAGGTGTTTTCCCCATCAAAATATGTAAAGAAACGCATGATTATATGTGCTAGGAAAATACTAAAAAATACTGTAGCATATTAATTTTTTATCATATATTTTTTTTATGTTTTTCTTGATTTACAAACTTTTCACCGAATTTATCAACAAATATAGCATTTAAAATTTATTTGAGTACAAATTTGATCGATTTTGAAGTTGCCCCCTGCAGTATTTATTCCCAAAAATATTCTCCATATTTTCTAGTACCGATTTTCGATGCCTTTCTCCATGCATATTCATCTATAGGAAATGCAAATATTTGGGCATTCTAGCTATTGTATCTCTTGGATACGATACCCAGAGGCACCATCTTGTGGGTGCCGCAGTGTCCTTTGGATGCATCCCCCTGTGCTCTTCCTCCTCCTCTACCGCTGATGCTCGAGTATCTTCTGTTTTTGATTAAATTTGATTGTTGGTTGGCCTTTTTGTCTTACCTGTCTTTCCCCCTACGTTCTTTTACCCCTTTCCTCCTCTTTGGCCTCTTGTTTCCCCCTCGTCTTCCTCTACTGTTGGTTTTATTCTTCTAATTTGATTTTCGAAAGGTTATCGCGCTCTTTCGGAGGCCCCTTTTCACTCTCGTGGCTTTTGTTGTAGGTGTGCGATGTGCGATGCTGCCGCCGCCGCTGCTGCCTTTGTCTCTGCCTCTGCCTCTTCGGAGGGGGGCGTGGGGGCATCTCTGCAGGTGGGGTATCTATCACTATTGTTGAACTATGCAAATGACTTTATCGCTGTTCGGTTGCCTCCATCTCTCCATCCCTCTCTCGCTCCTAGAGCTTTTGGCTCGTTTCTATTCTGTTCTTCAACGGATTTAAAGACGTGAAGTTTGGGAGACGAGAAATATAAAAGGCTAAAACTGAAACAACTACAACAAGAAGTAAAGCTGTGTTTTGAAGAGTCAAAGCTTTGAATACCCTGGAAAAAACTTGACAAGTTTGATTTTTGGATCGTTTATTTCAATGGTAGAATATTTTCAAAAACAAACAGAAAATTTACTCACAAAAATCACTTGAATTGAATCACCTGAATACCTAATTTAGACGCTCTACATACAGGTTGTAGAAGGTTTTTCCTACTATAGGAATGGCATACGTTTTGGAAGACTCGTCCTACCCTCTCCCGATAAAGGGTATACCGTTGCTTGGTGTTTGTTTGTGTTTGGTTGACTCTTTCCATCCATCTACCTGTTTTTTTCTTTTGTAAGGGGTCTTCTGGAACGTTTCTACACTATCCACTACACTCCAGTCTTCGTCTCCGTCTCCTCTCTCCCCCCACTACAATGCTCCGTCTCCTCTTTCACTCTCTCCCTTTATTTGTATGTTTGCTCGCATCATCAGCATCTTCTCCCCAACTTCTTCTGCCTCTGCCTCCGTCTCTCCTTCTGCTTTATCTGCTTCTGGCTACTCCTCTTGTGGCCTGGCATTTCGTTGACCTAAAAAACGTTCAACCAACGAAACAAACTAAAAAAAAAAACAACAAAAACAACAACAAGAGGAATAAAATACCAACGAAGATGAGCATAAATTGCTGCTGCTGCTGCTGTTGTCGCCGCGCCATTTATTAAGATTCGTTGATGATGCGGCAGGCGGCAGGCGGCATGCAGTTGCAGTTGCAGCTTTCTTACCTGATTGAACCCCTTTGGCAAAGCATGCAACATGCAGGAGGCAGCAGCAGCTGGCAGCAGCTGCTATCCCAAAAGACATTTAAAGTGTTGCCATTCCCCCCTTCCTCACCCCCCAAAACCCTTGTTTCTTCCTTCTTCCTGGTCTTTTTTTTTTAGTCCCCATCTCCGTCTCCGTTTCGGCCTTCAATCTCGGCTCAGAAAGTGCCAATCTAAAGTGTAATTAAGTTTTTTTTTTTTTTTGTCTGGCACTAAAAACATCTGCCATTGGATTGGATCTCGGGGTTTTTTCCAGCTCATTTTTCTTGCTTCGTTTTAAAATGGTTCGAGGTTCGAGCGAGGCCTGCCAAGGCATGGCCTACCAGGTTACGCCCTTTCCTACCAGGAACTCTCCTCGCAATCAGCTTCCTCGTCATCTCCATCCCGTCAACTTTTTTGCTGCCGGTTTGGCAAATATTTGCGCCTCTCCATGCATTATGATGCGGCTTTCGCGTCTTCCGAGAAGGGAGAGGGCCAAGACCAAGACAGCCTGCACAAGAGAAATCCCTGCTGCCCATCCTTCCGTTTATTCAAATTGACCCAAAAAATATGAACAGGCGTGACAGCAAAACAATTAGTTTTCTTTTTTTTCCTTTTGGAAGGGGAATACCGAAAAGATTTTGAATTTAAGAGATTCTAGGAGCCACAAAGGGTTATAGGCCCGTTATGATAATCCAATGATACTTCCGCATTGAAGAATTTTTATTAGAGATCTGCAAAGGGATCTAGGGCCCTATATACACATTTTCCCTATTATCTATCGGTAATGTTTAATATCTTTCTTTGAAAAGGTGCAGGAAAATGTTCATTTTTTTATGGAAAAATGTTTTGCGGTTTAAGAAGAGGTTTTATCCCATTTTGTAGTTAATTTTTTGAAGGAAAAATTTGTAAAATGATTTAAAAATATTACCAAGAATGTATATATCCTTACCCCTAGCTCTTGCCTTCCTCCCTTTGCTACTCCTCGGGCTTCTACATAAAAATACAAAGAATTCCCCAAATTCTTGTCCATAAAGTGGAACTACAAAAACGTGAATCACAGTCGGCCTTTGATCAGAGTGTGACAACTCTTTCAACGGTATATCGGATGTTACTAAAGCCTTATATCTGAGCTCTACATAGGAGCCTGTTGTTTTTTATTTGCTCCATAAATATATGAAACAAACTCTCGTATTGGCATTCAACTTGTATCCCTCTGGCTGGGAAGTTCTAAAATATTTCGTAGTAATTTTCGGAATTTTGTGTGTGGAACTTTTGAATTTTTCCTGTGTTTAAAAGTTTTAAATTTTGTTGCTCGAAATCGAAATGAAACTGCATTTTGAAGGCCATCTGGACGGTGTGCTGGACTTCAGCTTCAGCAAGGTCTGCTTGGGCGATGGCGGCTACTACTTGGCCTCCGTCGCACAGGATGGCCGGGGCTTTGTGCGGCGCGGCGACACTGGAGAAATGTGCTGCAACCTCGTGGGCCACGAGGGGCCCGTGCGTGCAGTGTCGATGGGCGCGAAAGGCACGATTGTGGCGACTGGCGGTGATGATGGCACCGCCCGCATTTGGAGTGTCGCCACTGGCGCCGAACTGACGATGTTCCGACAGGACCAGAAGGTTTCCAGTGTGGCGCTGGACACCAGGTCGGAGTGGATGCTCACCAGCAGCCAGGAGCGCGACAGCGAGGTCTGTTTGTATGACGTGACTCGGGGAGAGCAGGATAAGCCCCTGCTGTGCCTTTACCAAAAGCAAGGACGAGCCGTGCGCAACGTGATCTTCTGCCGTGGCGATCGCTCGTTTCTCTCCTCGTCCTACGACCGCCACATCGAGATGTGGGACATTTTGAGTGGCCAGCGAAGCCACATGATCTCACTGCCCCACCACGCCAAGAGCATGGAGCTGTGTGCCGACGGCAAGACGGTGACCATTGCCTACGGAGAAAGCATTGTCCTGTTCGACGCGGATACCCTCAACATAATCGACCACCTGAAGCCGCCGTTCAAGGTGACGGGCGCATCGCTACATCCGCAGCAGCAACGCTTTGTGTGCACCAGCTCCTACAATGAGATTTACGGGTGTTGTAGCTACATACGGGAGTTCGTCAAACTGCATGAAGCCCCCGAGTTAATGGGCAAACCAATTAACTGCATCAAGTACAGTCCCGACGGCGAGGTGTACGCCAGCTCGTGGACCAATGGCCAGATCATACTCTGGCGAGATTATTCAGACCGCAAAAACAGGCTAATGCCATGCTAGATAAATTTAAAAATATGCAGATGGATGAATACGATGACTAAATCCGTAATTCCACTGCACTAAACTACACAACACTACACAACACTACACAACACAACACAACACTGCACAACACTACACAACACTACAAAACACTACAAAACACTACACTACACTGCACTATACATATTTTGGCGTTGTTGGTTCTCTTGAATGGTTTTTTTTTGACACTCATCCAAAATAATACTCCGAAAAGATACAGATACAGGGACCCCCCAAAAAACACAGATTTATTTGAGAAAATTACTGTTTGGTTTCATTTTGTACAAAAATTCATTTGTTGCGTTTGTTAAGGAATTAAATTTTATTGTTGTTTGAAAAAAGGTCATAATATCTAGTAGATATTTATTTAAAAAAAGGTCCCTGATCTCAGAATCTAAAGATCTGTATCACCAGCATCTTTCACGAGAATCGGTTGATAATTTCTAACAAAAAAGGTTTTAAAATGGCAAAGAAAATTCAACGTATAAAAAAAAGGGATTTTTGTTACTTATTTTTGTGGAAATATTTAAAATGTATTATAATCCAACCCGTCACCAACTTTCATAAGAATTGGTTGTGATTTAAGGGATATGGGTACATAGTTTTGGGTTTAAATACCTGTAGATATGGCAGTTGCACAATCTCCGTCTCTATGCACGCCCTAAGGTATAAATCTTTCGTGTACGAACAATTCTATGGATTGCAGATACATTTGTGCTCCTCTCAGAGTTCTACCTGCCTCCAAAGGCAAAACCATTTCCTCTTCGTGTGTGTTGCTGTCTCTTGCTTACAACAGACAGCATCTGTTGCTCTTACCATCTCTGTTTTTCTGCTCCCTCTCTCTCCCTCTTTTTTCCCAAAGAAACATCTGGCCTGCCCTTTTTCTGGTGTTGTTTCTGGGCTCTATTTGGGCCTCTATTTCTCGTTTGATGCAAGAGTGGAACCGTTTACCTAGGCTTCTACCAAAAACACTTCCCTTTGAAAGTTCTGTACCAAATGAATTTGGATTTTAATTTGATTTTTGCTTCTACCGGAAATTGTTTTTTAATTGTTGTTCACTCGAGATCTGTGGAGCTCTTTCGGTGTTTGTGTGTGTTTGGAAATCTCAAATGATTTGTGGTCTCCTTCGAAGTGTTGCACATAAATATTTATTATCTTGTGTGCGGGGCTACTGTTTCCCCCCTCCCCCCCCCATCCATCCATCCATCCTTTGTCTTCTATCATCCCATGATAATCAGCAGTTGCATTCGCATTCCTCTGCTCTTTCCCGAGAGTTGATTTCTTTGTGCTCCACTTTTTATCAAGTTTTTGTCATCTCCGATGCAAAAACACAGAGAAACAGAGACAGAAATAGACCGCAGGGCGAATAAATATCTGTGGCTGTTATTGTTGTTGTTTTCTCTTCCTTCTCCTTCTGTTTCGTCTCCTACTTGAATCCCGTAGTGGTCTGCCCTGCAGGCGGCGGCCGCTTCGCACAACAAACATTCCTGGGCCCTGCCTGGAGGTGCTTTGGGATATTGTTCTCTGCTTTCTCTCTCTCTCTCACTCACTCACTCTCTCTCTCTCTGTTGTTGTTTTTGTTGCGTGTTTCTATACACTTTTTAGAGGGTTTTTTTGGGTATATGAAGATGTGAAGCCTATATACCCTATAGATTATTTTGTACTATGTTTTCGTCTGTTTTTTTGTCGAATTATGATACTAGGTTTTAAGTTATTTTTATCTGAAACTTTCCACAGAGTCTTTATTTCTACTGCTGAGTAGTCAACAAGATCTTAACGCTATATCTTTCATCTTAAATGGATATAATTGATACAAAAAACATATATATTTCCAAGAAAACTTGTGGGCCTCTAAAGATAATAGAGTAAAACGTTAGAAATGGAATCTTATTAGTTTATCTAGCTTTAGGAACACTATATAGTAACTCAGATATCGGTATCGGTAGAAGAAATGTCTGGTATTTATAGTTTCATATATTTCTACATGGCTATGCAAAGTTTTATCAAAATAGGAACAGTATTGGAATAGTTATAGAATAGAAAGATAGTAATGATCGATCGTAAGGTTAGTTTTCGTAAGAAAACCTTGTAGTGCTCCATAGTTCTCTTCAATATTCCACCCTTAAAGTATTCCATAGACCTCCGAGGGTATCAAAAATCTCGAAACTCGAAAACCCCAAAACCTTCATCTATTTCATGCACTTGTTGTTGATTTTTCCTTTGTTGTTGTTGGCTGCTGCTTGGGTTTTATTTTCTTGCAGTGCGAATCTGCCCTTTCCTATTCCTATTCCCATTCCCATTCCCTCCTTCTTCCACTTCCTTATTCCATTATGATGCATATTCATATTGCCATGACGTGGCTGCCTGTCTGTCTCTGTCTCTGTCTCCGACTGTCTCTTATTTTCTCACATGTAAAATGTGATTATTATTAGCCCTTGGCTCTTGTTACTCCCTACCCCCCCCCTCTTAACCTCACTGCTCTCCTTCTACTGCCATATTTGTTCTCTTCTTTTTTCTATCTTGTCTCCCATTACAGTCGGTTTTTTTTTGTCTTGTTCCCTCTCCCTTCCTTTGGCTTTGCATCTGGATGTTGAAATCTGAGCTTCCTGTTCAATGTCACACACATGCACATGCCCCGCTCTGCCACCTGCTGCTGTCTTGCTCTGGGTTTCCCCCCTCTCTATACATCTCTCTGTCCCCCGTTTCAGCCACTAAACACTTTGGGTATTTTATGTAATTAAATGAAATTTTACACTCGCAATTTGAGGTGACAACAACATTATTATTCTTTTTTGTATTTGCAAGGTTTTTCCATGTGCTTTTATCCCTCGTTTGACTTACATTTTCCTCACATTCTGCTCTCATTTTTTCCCTTATGTTCTTCTCTCCCATATCCTACCCTGTGCCTCTCTCCCATTTCTACCACACATTCCTCTCATTTCCTCCTCATGTTCCTCATTTTCCTCAATTACCTCCCACCGTATTTTTTTTCACACACTTTTCCACCATTTGGCCATCTATTTAACCTCTAATCTTTTAATTAAATGCAAATTTCAATGACAAAATAAAACAAATACCACATCAAACAAAGAACTCTAGGAAAGAAAATAGAAAATAGGGAGATGTCTACAAATAAAATACTGCATAAAAAATATATATCTCCATGCGGAAAATGAATAAAGTAAAATAAAAACCAAATAAAGACCAAATACAAATTTCCATTAAATTCTAATAAAAAATTCACAAAAAAAAAAATAAAACTACAAAAAAGTATACGAAAAATATTTGTAAAAATCTTGAAAATGGCAAAAATTACCTCTAATTCCAAACATTTCCATTAAATAAATGTACTTTTATCTGTACGGGAAAAAATATCTAACTCTTTCTGTTCTCTTTCTCTCTCTCTTTGCAGGTAAGCAAATGATTGCGTTTTATGGGGCCTGCCAACTCGATCCAAAACGATGCTTTTGAGGTTATGTATGTGTGCCGTAGTAAGGCTTAGGCAAAATCAATTTTGCAATATAACTTTGAGCAAAACTTAAATTGAATCAACAAAGGAAACGCAAAGGAACGGAAAGGAAGATGATGCCTGGTCCGTCCCCGGTGGTGGGTGTAGACTCCTCTTAATATCAAAGCAGCTTCAAGTGGGATGCGCTCATCCCTCTTGTGGCTCTACTTTTTGGTCTCCTTTTCTTGTCACGCATCACTTACATGGGGAACAGCGCCTCCGCCTCCGCCCCCATTCCTACCCCCTACTTTATGCCCCCCCCGTTGTGTTGCTCTAGCACGTTGCTGCCATTTTCAATTTTGCATTTTAATAATAAAATTTTGCAAGCAGCCTGGAAAAAATAAAATGTAGAAACAAAAAAAAAGAAAAGAAAAGAAAAGTAGTAGAACATGCACAAAAAATGATAGAGAGAAATGTGTAATGGATATAGGACCCTAGGAATACCTGGTATCTTAGGGGTTTTGTTTTTTTAAGTGGAAAAGGCTTTTAAAGATAGAGAATTTTCCGTATTTCTATGGTTTATTTTGGATAGATAGTTGGATAATGGCTTTGAGCTTTGTATCTGGGAAATTGTGGAAGGCAGAAAGTTTCTTAGGAAGGATACCCATGAGATCTTAAAGGGAAGGAATATAAGGAAGGGAGGGAATATTAACCTATCCTTGTCTTCTCAGTCTCCCTGGGAGAGAGAATCAACTTTGAGAGTGATGATCTTTCAGCCTTAAAGCCATATAGACCCCTTCTCCATAGACGAATATACCCTCTGCTCTCAAGGACTCTGCTGGGCATCCCCAAAAACTGGCAGCTGGGCAAACTTTAAACGCTAGACGACGACGACGACTACCACGACGATGCATGATTACTTTGTTGATGATGACAACCACCCTGTAGGGGAGTAGAAGGAGGTGAAGCATGTTGCAAGTGCAGTTTTCGGTGGGGGCGTACCACCGAGGGGCTAGGGGCTAGTGGCAACATGTTGTTGTCTGCGCCACAAAGTATGCAATGCATTTTGGCACGTGGCCTGCTGCTGCTGGTCTTCCTATTTTTTTTTTTCTGCTTTGTTTTCGGGAGTCTGCCCCCTACTCCTTTTTGTTTATCATTTTGCTGCGTGCTGCCTTCAATTTGTTGCATGCATCGCCCCCGTCATTTCAATGATATTCGCCTCACGTTTCTCGGGTCTTGTTTTTATTTATTTTTCTCTCTGTTTTTAATTGCGTCTTACTTTTATATACTACGCTGGACCTTCTCAATGGATGCCCTAGTGTTTCTACGTTTCTCGTTTCGTTTTTCTAGTCGCTCAGCACAAAAATGTTTCGTTACGGAATTTAACCCTATGTTTATCGAATGGGGCATCGCTCTCTCTCTCTCTCTCTCTCTCTCTCTCTCTCTCCCACTCTCTTGGATTTTTGTTTATTTACGAATTTCCGCTCGTTGTGCGGTTTTTTTTTATTTTTGGTACCCTGTAGAGTACGGTATGTTGCATTTTAGTTTGCGATTTCATTTAATTTAAAAATTTAAAGCTTGGAAATTAAAAAAAAAAAAATTAATCTATAGGAAAATAAATATATTTTGTAGTATTTT